CCCTGCTCAAATCCAAGCCTGTTACGGTAAGGAATATATGCTACTGCTGTTTGTTGATAAATAACAATCGTTAGAGCCCATCATTGGGGCCTATGTTCATCTATAACCATAGTAACACTCCACCGAATAACAAGAAATTAATGGTTAATTGGTAGAAAGAAAAACACTCAACAAATTAACTCATTTACCTGAAACAATCTTTACAAATGCCAGCCCCATTCCAATGCCTGAATACGAAAAAGACATGATTGCAGCGACGGCGGAGAGCCATGATAGCTTATGAAAGTTTGGGATTTGAGACAAAAGAATTTCAACAATTCCAATTGCAATCATGTATTGATTATTGGATAACTTGCATGGCGCTCCATGGCCTTCTTTGTGGAAACAATTCGATCTGCGTATGGCCCTGAAAGTTTGTCGAAAAGAAACCAAACCGAACGTAATTAACTCCAGCTTAATTAAAAAGTTAATTAATGTAGCTTAATATAATTCGCTTACTCCATGCTTATTGATGTTGTGATGGTATAGCCTACTAGCATCCCAGTAAGGAGTATAAACTGGACCAACTCACAAACCTTGTACTTGTTTCCACCTAATAAATATAAACCATCCAGAAAAATCAAAATCAGATTCAACATAACTTTACCTTGATGTGATTGGATGTAATGCTTACTTTGTATTGTATGATATATATAAACAGTAAACTTACCTAAGTAACATTTGACAGCCTCCCCATATGAGTAATTTCTCTTTCCAGAGTGTGGAGCCCTGTAACAATCTGCTAAGAGACCGGCTGTGTATAATGATATGGCTGAGAAAATTAAAAGAGTTGCAACGCCGGTGATCCATCCCAGCTGTGCTATCCCCCAGGCCAGTGACAGCACTCCAGATCCCACTATGGCTGTAATTATATGTGCACTTGCAGTCCACACGGTCCCTGTGTAACCTCACCAAATTAGAATTATATATAGCTTCAAAAGTAGAAGTTATTTTGACTGGGAATAAAATTTACCCCACTGTATTACTCATCTTAAATGCAATTACAGACCTGCATTTTCAAGGACTATAAAGTATTCAACTTTGATCAATTATCATTGTCCTTTAGCCATTACTTCAGCGAGGATAAATAAGAAAATGTGGAGCCTCAGCAATAAGAATGCATGCATCTGGTTTTGCTGGTCAAACCTCTGCCAAGAAGCCTCGTTGCCAATAGATGATAGGACCCTATTACGCATATTTGACTTCCTTTTACCATGCAAGGAAACGCTTGGCCATAACCATTATTGAGTGACCTGGTAAAAAAGCAAAGGAGAACCCAACATGGTCTCCCAAGTTTGAATCCCCTTAATGATAAAAAAGCAAGAGTAGAATTTAACATAATATCTTGAGTTCGAGTCCCCACGATTACTAATATTGGCCATTGAAGTTCATACATGATCAAATAGTTTTAGAGTCTCGGAAGATTAGTTGAGATGTACGTAAGCTGGTCTGGACATCTCGGTCATTAAAAAAAAAAAAAAACACTTGGCCATAAGTTGACTGATAAATAATTTTTTTTTGGTATTTAGGAGTGTTTAAGCCAGCTTACGTACAGCCCAACTATTCTTTTGGATCCTAAAGTTAACGGTTAGGTAAGTCTCCAGTGACTACTTCTTATTAATAATAATAAAGATTCAAACTCAAAATCTTTTTAATAATACATCCAAAAGTCTCAAAGTAACCACCAACCTACCTAGAGGTAGCTTGACTGATAACAATTAAATGCCATGAATGCCAGCCAGGTGCTCTGGTGAGCTGAAAGCTACAACTCCGAGATTAATAGGTAGCAATTATTTCATCCTGTTCATTCATCCGAACAGTAAAAAAAATTTCAAGTTGGTTTGGGTTTAACATAGTTATTATCAGATCCTCATTGAAGAACATGCATGCTTTGTTCAGATATGAAATCAGATTATGTCAAACACAAAAGTTACGTGCATGAAAAGTATAAAATTATACACGGACGCTTGATCCATCAAAAAGAAAAAGACAAAATCATAAGTTGAAGGCATACATATATATAGGAGTTAAGCAGGATGAATACCAGTTCTTTTATACGTTCCATCATCATCAATCTCCCTATCTGCCACTTTGCTAATATCCATACTAGATTCACAAGATATCTCTTCTTGAATATGTTGAACTATCTTGCCCATATCATAATTAACTATGTTTACTTGAACAAGCAATGTGTACTTGGAAAGATTGTACTATTCAGTGGTCGTTATATGAAATAATCACAAAGTTGATGAATAACAAACAAAAAATTGGCTTGCGTTACTAAAGGGAGGAGAAACAAAAGTAACTCTTGAAAAATTGTTTTGTTGAGAGCATAATAGTCTGAGAATGTGCACTATCCTGGCTTCCTAGGACTAATATTTATACTCTATTGAGAATGCAGTGCACTCCAGGCAGACTTTTTATTACATAAGCTGAGGTGTGAATTGCAGGCCCTGAGGTTCGTTACAACACGTACGTTAATACAATTGGAAAATAGGACACTCATTTGCCACATGTCAATCATTTCCTAAATGTATTAAATCACTTTTGCATGTTTAGTGGTGAGAATTTATTAAGGTCTTATCTTCTCATCCAAATCGGGAGAACAACTTTTTCCACCCAAGGTTTAATAAAACGACACTTTTTCTCACTCCGTTGAGTTCTGTTATATTTTCTATTAATATTTGATTAAAAGGACAAAAATATCCTTAAATATTTAATTTTATAAATTTTATATTATTTTTTAACCAACCAAAAAGTTAAATTTTAAAAATTCAAAAAAAAAAAAAAATAATTAACCCTAACTAAAAAGTTAGGAGTAATTAGACTTGGCCATTAGGGACTCGGCCTAAAAAATCGGTCCTAAAAGGCCCGGTCCCAAACCGGGACTAGGCCCATGGTGGAGGGACCGATCCCTAGATCGAGCCCTCCTCCAAGCTTGGCCCAAACCCCTTTGCATTTTTTCAAAAAAGTCATTTGAAAAATATCCAAAAACCCCTTGTAATTTTGAAAATGACAAAAATATTGAGGGATAAATTGATATTTTACAAAATTTACTAATCTCCGGGGAGGAAATAAATTTTCCAGGGCCCCTAAAAATTACATAAATCCCCCTACATGATTTTAATTAGTCCCTAAATATAAAAAAAGTTGGGGGGTGGAAATAGATTTTCTAGGCCCATAGGACCGATCCAGGCCCATGAGTCAATGGTCCCAAATGGGACCAGTCTTGTTGGGACCGGTCCCATTCAGGTCCAAACTCGGATCCAATTGGGACCAGTCCCTGCCAAATTCTAGGTGTAATGCTATGGAATTATTTAAAATTCAATTATCTTAATATTTATTTATAATGTCCTTAATATCTCATCACTACTATTCAATAATCTACTAAATTTATAATGTTTTTCATAACATAATGTTTTTCATTTTTAATAATTAACATAGAAAATCAATATTCCTAATTAATTAAATAAACAAAGGAAAAAAAAAATCTTTACATTTGAACTAATAAATAATCACTTTTGACTTAACTAAATTTTAATTTATAATAAACTAATTAAGAAATAAACTATTTAATGGTAATTTCATCTTTTTAGTCAAATATTAACATAAAACACTAAATGAACCTGACAAAGGGTGGGAAAGTGTTGTTTTGCGAAACCTTGGGTGGGAAAATGTCATTCTCCCCTTCCAAATCCGTTCACTATGCCAAATTGGAAGAAACCTAATCAGAGTTGAAAAAGTAAATTTCTTTTTCTCCCAAAATATTGGGCTTTACATAAATTAAGATGTTAAAAACAGTGATTAGGAACCCAACCCAGGGTGTCACCCAGCCAAGGGGTCAGGTCCTAGGTTGACCAGTTAAAATGGTTAAACTGACGATCTGACTCGTGATAAATAAGTTTAAAATCTAGTAAACACACCCCTAATAAATACTATTAGTCCGTACATGTTTGAATTCTATCAAACACACCCCTGTGATAGTTATGGTGTTGATTTTTCCAACCAAATTTTGGCTAATTTGGAGTAAAAAATTCCACGCCTTCACTTTACAAAACTCTTCTAATCCCGACACTTGTAACACCCCCCCCGGTTGACTCATCGAGACTTGCGAATTCAATCACGTTGATTTTCCGACCAAATTTCGATTGATTCAGACGTAAAAAATACAATCAGACACCACCCCATAAACCACCAGACTCTATTCTACAAAACCCTTCTAACCCCGGCACTTGATAGCCCATCGTTTGTCGACGATCAAATTAGGGATTTTGGGAATAGTAAAAAGCAGTAACCCGACGTAAAGAAGGCCCTAGGTCCCTGTCAAACAGGTTAAACTGGCCGGTCCGGGCCGAGTTCCTGATCACTGTTAAAACTATGAACTTGATATCTTTTATAGGTATCGGTTGGTCCCAAACTTGTTCTATCAACGTTTTGATTCAGTTACAAGATAATACTGCCAAACCCAGATTCAGATTATGTAAGAGAAAATTCAAAATTCCTTAAATAACAATGTTTCTCAGTTAACTTTTACCCATTTATTACTTCTAAAACTTGTTACAAATTGAAATACACCGGTTTTTTTTTTTTTTTTCTTAAGCACTGATCATTACATCTGCTACTTTCAGTATGCAAATAACATGGAAAGAATCGAGTTACACGGAGAGCAGAGCCATAATGGTCAAGCCTTGGCTCAGCTTAAAATCCGTTTGTGAACTGCATCTCATAAGACTGCTCCAAACATATAATCAATACAAATAAAGAAAACTACATTAGCATAAAACTGAAATTACAGAACTTCATATAGATTGGTTTTCTGTTTTGTTTGACCAAAAAGGAGTATGAAATAAACAACTATACCGAGCAGGGAAATGAGTACACAACAAATTTAACTCACGATAATAATAATCGCATGGTGTACATGGATGGTGACAATACGCCCATGAAAAACACATTGGAACTGCTGAAATGCTGATTAAAAAGCATTGTTATAGAAAAAAGAAAACTTAGCTGTTCATTTCACTTGTACTCGAACGATGGCACCGGAGGAGCATCAAAACTCTCCAAGACCTCTGTCTTACTTCCACTACTTTTCGCTGATTCCTCCTTTTTACCACCAAAAAAACCTCCAAACCAAGAAGAAGATGAAGACGAAGACGGCGATGGACTCTCAACCATTGATGGGGCTTGACCTGGCAATTGCCCCACTGGATATCCAGGTACACCAGCCATGTTTGGTACTGATTCTTCCATGACCGGGATATTCTGAGGTGCACTCAGAACCTTATTTAACATGATCCCAGCTCCTTCAATCAAAGCAAGTAAAACCCCACCAAAAACTGCTGATCTGGAAGCAGCACCAAATCCCTGACGCATTGAAAGGAATCCTCCAGTGGCAGCACCAGCTATGATTGAGTTCCATGGATCCTCTTTCTGTCGAACATAGACCATTGTGCAGTCAAAAGTGGAGAAGAGGCCACCCCACACAGCAAAACTACCACCAACACGAGGTGCATTCATGCGTACAGCTTGAGAGCCTCCAACTAAACGTGAACCGGAAGGAGAGTTATATATGCCTTTTATGAAGTGGAATGCTGCACCTCCAACTGCACCCATTCCAAATGCACCGCCAACATCGTCAAGAATACGATCAGGACATGGCTCTCGAGAGGTTTCTGGGGTCCCCATAGACGAAGGAAAAGAAGATAAATCTAGCACTCCTACAAAGCTGCACCTAAATGGCGAAGAGAGGGAAAGAAAAAAAAGGGAGATTAAAAACCTCGCACCTGATTAATTTTAAATATGCAAACATTGGCAGCATCCATAAATATATAAGATTTTGGTGTTTCATGCAACAAACTCAAAGAGGCTTATTACTTTTTACACAAATCCTAAGTTTTCTTTGATTAAACCAATCAAGATACTATCAGATAATACATATCATATTTAAGCAGGTACCCATCAAAATCCACAAAATAATCAATTTAATAATAACAATCTCTGAAACAATACTCCTAACAAATAAACACAAATTGCAAAATTAAACCCCCGATCAGAACAAAATCCAAGCTATAAATCAATGTTCGATATCAATCCAACANAACAAAAGGTATATTTATAATTTGCTTTTACTGTAAATTATTACTGTCTCCATCTCCGCAAGCTTCTCTTTCATTTCAAGACCCAATTACCAGAATTTCTCTAGCCGAAGACATACTACATATTATCCTAAAATATTTCAAAATCATCAAAGGAGAAAACGTGGGAAAACGGAACGAAACCAAAGGTCAAAGTTTTAAGTTGAACATCGCATTTATAGCAAAGCATTAAAATTGACTCCTATAATGATACTGTTGTAGCACATAACAATTAAAGCAAAGGTAATAGCAAATTAAGAAGATCAATTGCAGAGAAAAACTGATTCACCATTAATAAAACTGAACTTTTTCCTTACTACACACTCACACACTAGAAAGCGTTTAAAAGTTATAGAGCATCCAAAAAAAAAAAAAAAACTGCAAAACAACTGCTTACAAACTGCACATAAACTGAACAATAACTGAAAAAAACTAACAGCAACTTTGCCACCTTGGCATCACTTTTTGGTTGCAGTAGTATTTAGATGCACATCTACAACACTCCTCCTTGCAACTAAGCTGTTGCAAACCCCCAACTTCAGTCTCAAAAATTCAAATCTGATCTTGGACAACGCTTTTGTGAATATATCAGCTACCTGATCTTCAGACTTACAATATTTAAGTTGAACCAACCCTTCCTTTTGCACATCTCTAAGAAAAGAGAGTTTTATTTTGAAGTGCTTAGTTCTACCATAAAACACAGGATTATTAGGGATTGCAATGGCAGCTTGGTTATCCACAAACACTTGAGTGGCTTCCTCTTGCACCATATCTAAATCAGCTAACACTTTTCTAAACCATAAAGCTTGGTTTACTGCTACTGAAGCTGCTACATATTCAACCTCTGCAGTACTTTGTGCAACAAGTTGTTGCTTCTTTGAACACCAAGAGAACACTCCCAAACCAAAGCTAAAAAAAAAACCTGTTGTACTCCTCATGTCATCTACTGAACCTGCCCAATCACTATTAGAAAATCCATGAAACTTTAAATTTTGACAATAGGAAAATCTGATACCATAATCAATTGTGCCTTTAATATATCTGACAACTCTTTTTGCTGCCTGTAGATGAACCACACTAGCACAATGCAAGAACCTGGATAACAAACTCACTGCATACGTTATATTAGGCCTTGTTGCAGTGAGATACATTAAACACCCAATCAAGCTCCTATACAGCCCCTCATCAACCTTTTCAGCTCCATCTTCCTTGCTGAACTTTTCTTTAGGATTCATAGGAGTATTTGTAGCCTTACACTCACTCATCTGAAACTTATTAAGAATCTCCTTAGCATACTTTTGTTGGCATACAAAAATAGCCTCCTGGCTTTGTTTCACCTCCATCCCAAGAAAAAAAAAGTCATTCTCCCAAGATCAGTAATCTCAAAAACCTTCAACATTTCAACTTTAAATTCATTGATAACCATCTCATTACCTCCTGTCACAAGCAAATCATCAACATAAATGGCTACAACAAGTATATCAGCAACTTTATTCCTCACCTTCTTTACATATAAAGTCGTCTCACTAGGACTCTTCACAAATCCTAGTCCCAATAAATGTTTATCAATCCTACTATACCAAGCGCTTGGAGCTTGTTTAAGCCCATAGAGAGCTTTCTTCAACAAATATACATGACTCTCATAGCCTTTTCTAACAAACCCTTCAGGTTGCTCTACATAGATCTCCTCTTCTAGAAATCCATTCAAGAAGGCTGATTTCACATCTAATTGGTACACAATCCACCTCTTTTGAACTGAAATTGCTAATAACATCCTTATCGTATCTAGCCTAGCAACAGGTGTAAATGTTTCAAAAAAATCTACACCAAATACTTGTGCATAACCCTTCACCACAAGCTTGGCTTTATACTTGTTAATAGAACCATCAGCATTCAACTTGGTTCTATACACCCACTTGACCCCAATAATTTTTCTATTTTGAGGTCTCTCAACAAGCTCCCAAGTGTGATTCTTCTCAATCATTTTTAACTCTTCCTTCATAGCTTCCATCCACTTCTCTTCTAGCTCAGCTGCCTTAAATCCAGCTGGCTCCAAAACAGCCACGTTACATTGTTGATAAATTTCAAACAATGACCTGGTTCCTCTAACTGGTTCTTCATCAACATTGTCTTCAATTTGCTGAACGAATTTAGGGCTGTCATTCTTCTCTTCTTCAACCCAATTCCATTGTTCATCTTCAAGAAAAACAACATTTATACTCACAAGAACCTTCTCTGACTGTGGCTAAAATATCTTATAAGCTTTTGAAACATTACTATAGCCTATAAAAATACCTTTTTCAGCCTTCACATTTAGCTTATCTCTCTTCTCTTTAGGTATATGAGTAAAGCACAAACACCCAAACACCTTTAAATTCTTCACTGATGGTTTGAACCCGTACCATGCCTCATATGGAGTCTTCATCTTCAAACTTCTTGATGGAAGTCTATTTAACAAAAACGCTGTTGTACTCACAGCCTCAGCCCATAATTTTTTAGGCAAATTCTTCTCATGCAACATACACCTAGCCATTTCCATAAGTGTCCTATTCTTCCTTTCACTCACTCCATTTTGTTGTGGAGTGTAAGGAATTATTAACTGATGCTCGATTCCAGCTTCATCACAAAATCTATTAAACATCCCTGAAGTATACTCTTTACCGTTATCTGATCTTAACACTTGAATACTACGACCACTTTGATTCTCAATCCAAGCCTTGAACCTCCAGAATACACCAGCCACTTCTGATTTAAATCTAAGAAAATAAACCCAACACATTTTGGTAAAATCATCAATAAACAGAATGTAATACTTACTTCCTTTCAAAGATGGTGTCTTCATTGGTCCTCCAAGATCAGTATGAATTAGTTCCAGCTTCTGAGATGCTCTCCACACAGATTTTGGAAATGGTGTCTGAACTAGCTTGCCAAACTGACAAGCTTCACAAGTAGGAACATCCTCCTTCAGAGTTGGTAAGTCTTTAACCAACTCATTCCTTTGCATATAAAGAAGAGCCCTATGACGAAAGTGACCCATTCTTTTATGCCAAATTTCTTCACTACTCACATGACTCAAACAAGCAACATGCTCCTCCTCAATTGGATTAAACGAGAAGCTCTTGCCTCTCATTCTAATAGTGAACAACTCCTGACCATTCTCTTCATAAATTCTACAAGTTTTATCTTCATAAATTCTACAAGTTTTATCTTCAAAAATTACTTTGAAACCTTTTTCAAGTAATTGCCCAACACTTAATAAATTCTGATCAATTTCAGGAACATAAAGCACATCATGAATAACTTTAGTACCTGATACACTATCAATGACAACCGTTCCTTTTCCCTTGACTTTAATAAAATCTCCATTTCTAATTTTAACTTTGGAAATTAAAGACTTATCAAGTTCTTTGAAAATCTCCTTGTCGTAAGCCATGTGATTGGTACAGCCACTATCAATAGGCCAACACTCACTTGAACTATTGCTGGCATAACAAGTAGCTATGAGCAATTGATCTTCCTCTTGCGACTCCTGCTAGTTTGCAACTTGAGCTTCATTTTCTTGTTGCTTCTCTTGTTACACAACTTTGCCTTTGCAAAACCTCTCTATATGACCCTTCTGTTTGCATCTCCTGCAAATTAAATCAGGTCTCCTCCAACATCTAATTTCTAGATGGTTAGTTTTTCCGCAATGGCAACATGGAGGCAATCTGCCAAAGCTAGTGTTACTGCTACTAGCACCAGCTTCTTTATTTTTCCTACATTGTTTCTTATTCTTCTTCTCTTTATTGCTATCACAAATCTGTAATTTAGCCTTTAATGCACCTTCAATAGACCCCTCCTCTCTCATCTGCAATCTTCGTTCATGTGCTTGCAAAGCACTCAAAAGCTCTGCTAATGAAATCGTTGCCATATCATTAGTCTATTCCAAGGTTGATATCTTAACCTCAAATTTATCAGGCAAAGTAACTAGGAGTTTCTCTATAATTCTCCTATCTGAAAACTCTTCTCCAAGAAGCCGAATCTGGTTGACAATCCCATGAAGTCTGTCTGCATACTCCTTGACAGTTTTGGACTCCTTCATTCTTTGGAGTTCAAACTCTTTTCGCAGGTTCAACACATTCATGCTCCTTGTTCTTTCATTACCCTGAAACTCTACCCTAAGATATTGCCAAATCTGATAAGCTAACTGAAAATTCATTATCTTCGTGAACAAGCCCTGTGAAATCACTGAATGAAGACACGTTTTAGCCTTGTACTTCTTTGTAACCCTCTCCTTGTGAGCTTTAATCTGCTGCATTGTAGGATTATCCGACAAAGGCTCTACTTCATAGTCTTCTTCTACAGCTTCCCAAAGATCTACGGCTTGTAGAAACATGGTCCTTTTTACAGCCCAAATATGATAATGCTCACCATTAAACACTAGTGGAGCAACTGGATTGAATGAATTAGAAGCCATTCTTACTCACACACCTCTCACAAGTCCCTTGAGAATTATGCTCTGATACCAATTTGTTGTAGCACAGAACAATTAAAGCAAAGGTAACAGCAAATTAAGAAGATCAATTGCAGAAAAAAACTGATTCACCATTAATAAAACTGAACTTTTTCCTTACTACACACTGACACACTAGAAAGCGTTTAAAAGTTACAGAGCATCCAAAAAAAAAAAACTTCAAAACAACTACTTACAAACTACACATAAACTGAAAAAACTAACAGCAACTTTGCCACCTTGGCATCATTGGTTGCAGTAGTATTTAGATGCACATCTACAACAGATACCAATATTGTTAAGTTGGTTGATAAGACATACGGCTAATACGGCTAATAAGGATACGATTAATGTTTTCGGACACCTAACAGTGAAGGAGTCAGTAATAAACTGATCTTGAGCTTTCATTTAATCCTTCAACAAAACTGCAATTATAGAATTCTCTGTGTTTATTTGATCAATTTCAAGCTAGCTTAGTTAGTTAATTATCCTAAGCTCGTTTTGAGTTCTTTCTGTCTTGTCTACTCCAAGACTCTTTCTCGTATACTCTGTGGCTTGGACAATATCTTGTTTTATGTTCCTAGATTTTGTCTTGAAATCTCGTGTCTCATGTTCTGTGAATTTTCTCTCCATTTTGCACGCACAGTTGTAATCTAGCGTTCAAATTCAAATGCGGCGGCATTAACTTTTTAATCAAAAGCTGCTCGACTTAGTAAAACCAAATTATCTGATTTGGAGCATGCTACAAATGGCGATTCCTGTTCTTTTTTATGTTGATCAACACATTATTAAATTTTAGTCCCCACTTTATAAAACCAACTTACTATTATCAAAATCATCACAATTCACAACAAAGCTTAGGAACAACTCTTAACTCAAACTCTTAAGTAACCATGAAAATCCAGCTACCGCTGCTTCTATGCATCGACATGATCTGCATTGTGAGTCGTGACTAGCCGGCCTCTGGCTGCTGAAGGCAACCCAGTTCCAGCTCCTGAGCGGAGAGAAGTATCTGCTAATGGCAGAATGTTTGATATTAGCCATAGGCTCACCAAGGACTTGCCTTCGTGGGACTTTAAGGACGGGATTGGCCAGTTATGATGTCCTTAAACATTCCAAAAGTCGCTTGCTTTTCAGAACATTAAATACAGATAGGTAACTAATACAAGTGATATTTTTGTTGATTCACCATCTATGTGTTGGATGATATAAAAGTATAGTTTATGTAAGAAATAATTCTGTGTCATAAATTTGTATGCTTCCAGTTTGTTATGTTTGAAATTTTGCAGCAACATTTGCTATGGTCTTCAACATTGGAAATATTGATGTGTCAATTACATTGTCTGTATTGAGACAGTTGGATTATGTCGTAGGTCAATATGATACCTGGAAGACAATGTCCTTCACTAGCTGAGATGGAATCTAAAGCCCCTCTGCCTCATCAATTTGAACATTTTTAATTTCAACAAAAGGAGTTTGGGTTTATCAATTTGCCTAATTTTCAGGCAACTTATGTGGAAAAAGGAGTTTGACTCAAGCTATGTGGGGTTCATGAAGAATGGGGCAAAATGGTTGGTGGAAAACAGAGACATTAAACTTGATCGTAAGTCAAAACATTTTCTCTTTAGTTGATCCAGGGCAACATGTAAAAGACATCACTTGCGTTTTTTCCATTTTGTTGTTGCATCGAGTCTATGTTGGATACTAGTGCGCAAATTAGAAGTTTTTGTACATTCGTAACTTTTTTTTTTTTTTTTTTAAAGAATAGTTGTAAGAAAAAGTTTGTGAGATGGAGTTGTAAATGTAGTATCTTTATATTTATATAATGCTGAAGTAGAATGCTTCTTCTGACGCCACGTAGGATTGATATATGATCGCCATATAGGATGTTGTTAATTGGTCCATGTGTTTGCTGTTTATTAGGCTTATTATAATAGAGATTATTCACATGCATTCAATTAATGTATTCAATACAAATCTTTCACATTCTTCTTTTAATTTGATAAATTACTAATGATTCGCTTGTGTGTTATTGATTTCCATGAATATTAAGAGATTGGTATAATAGAAATTATTCACATTCATTCAATTAATGTATTTAATACAAATTTTTCACATTCCTCTTTTAATTTGAGATCTTTCACATTCCTCTTTTAATTTGATAAAGATACAACATATCTTTTCACATTCATGAAATTTAGTAATACACTTTATTAATCCATTAATATTCAATGTTCATTCATGCATATTAATTATTATTATTAATATTTTTGTACCCCTTCACATTCAATTAATTATTATTAATATTAATATATATTTACCCCTTCACATTCAATTAAACAAAAATATCAAACATAATAATGAAAAATGTTTTTTATAAAACGTATTATCATTTAACATTTAATATAAATCTAAAAATTTTAAACTCATCCAATAATAATAAAACATTTAAATCAAAATAACTATAACTAATAACATGCAAACACTTATTAAAAAATATCAAAAGTCATATTAATTAGCAATAATCCAATTACATTGAACATAACATGAACAGTTGTTATAATCATTAATTATCATATAATATTATTTAATGACATCTAAAGTTGCATAAGAGTAGAAAATTCAACAATGCATACACTTTCAAATTTCACACAGATGCCATTAACAAGTGGAAGATAAAAGACCAACTATTGTCAATCCAAAATCCAAACAAACAGAAGTGTGCGGTAAATGACATCAACTGATTACTCTTATATTCTTTCTACATATTTACTTTTATATGTCCATTTTTTTATTTTTAGCAAGTCAAACAGCAACGTTAGATGGTTGGCTTAAACTGAAAGATATTCTACAAAACCTTAAACTCAGACGGAACAAACTCAACACCGCTTGACCAGATTTGGCTGTTTACATTGGTCAAAGGATCACAAAACACGAAAACGAGCATAGCCTTAATTTGGTGGTTAATCTGTGGCGGTTCCTGCCAATGAGAGATTGTACAGTTGTCAAAGGTGAACGCGTTGCTTAACCTTCACAGATTGGAACCCAGATATCCAATGGAGAAAATATTAAAAGACTTGGAAAATCTTCTTCAGAAAGCTACTCTCTCTTTATAACTTAATTCTTAGTTCATACTTTAACCGTGAAGACTATTTTATTATAGCCCAATAATATTGATGAACAATTTTTAGATGAGAAGACTGATATTTGCATTAAAGTTCTCTCGTCCCTTCAAGGCCAAGTGATGCCACGTTCATGTTGTAATCAACGGAAGCAAATAAAACTTCAAGGAATTAATTATAAGGAAATGAGGCTGACTTGCTGAAACTCCATGTGAAAGATGACTTGTATAAGAACATTCACTTAATTTTCTGAAATCAGTATCCGAATTATTAGGATTTTGGGTCTCATTTTGGACATCTATAAAAGGGGCTATTGGCAAGGACAACATCACTCAAAAAATATAGCAAGCCCTTTCAGAATAGTTCCGGGCTTGTTCAACAAATTGATTGTAATGGCTCTCTTTAAAGTGCACTTTTTTGTGCCAATTCTCTTGATGATGCTACTAGCGGTGGATGGAGCGAGGACTCCACCAGGAATTGCGAAGAATCCGAGCAATGCGAGATGCCTGGATAACAAATACAAACAATGCTATAACCTAGAGCATGTGTGCCCCAAGTTCTGCCCAGATTCATGCACAGTCAATTGTCAATCTTGCAAACCTGTCTGTGGTGAAGCCTCAACCCCTCCTGCTCCAACACCTGCTCCCACCCCTCCAACTCCAACTCCATCAACACCTGCTCCTACACCCCCAACTCCAACTCCATCAACACCTGCTCCTACATCCCCAACCCCAACTCCATCAACACCTGCTCCTACACCCCCAACTCCAACACCATCGACACCTGCTCCTACACCTCCCAATCCAACACCATCAACACCTGCTCCAACCCCATCAACGCCTTTTCCAACTCCTCCCACTCCAACACCATCAACACCTTCTCCCACACCTGCTACTCCCTCACCATCACCTAATACCCCTTCGCCACCTACCTGGACTCCTCCCAAAAAGGCTAGATGCAAAAACAGTAAATATCCCCAGTGTTACAATGTGGAATATACATGCCCCAGCTCTTGCCCTGGAGGATGTGAGGTCGATTGTGCTACTTGCAAGCCTGTCTGCAGTAAGTCTCGCTACTAATATATACATATTATTTCAAACCAAACAAATGCACCAACGTAACATATGTTAGCATTTTCCACAATTCTATCGTTCTAAATCTTCTGTTTAATATTTTTTGCAGGTTGTGATAAGCCAGGTACAGTATGCCAAGATCCTCGTTTCATAGGAGGCGATGGCATAACATTTTATTTCCATGGCAAGAAGGACAAGGACTTCTGTCTTGTTTCTGACTCCAACATACACATTAATGCTCACTTCATTGGCCGGAGAAATGACAACACGAAGAGAGACTTCACCTGGGTCCAGTCCATTGCCATACTATTTGACAATCACCAACTCTTCTTGGGTGCACTCAAAACCTCAACATGGCATGATGCCCTTGACCGCCTTGCCCTCTCCTTGGACGGAGAACCAATAACTCTCCCAGAAACCGACGGTTCCGTGTGGCAATCCGGAAATGTCTCCATCACAAGAATTGGTGAGACGAACAATGTGGAAGTTGAAGTTGAGGGAAAGTTGAAGATCACAGCCAAGGTTGTACCCATAACCGAACAAGACTCAAAGATTCATAACTATGGAATAACCAGAGAAGACTGCTTTGCTCATCTTGATCTTGGGTTCAAGTTCTACTCTTTAAGCAATGAAGTGAATGGCGTGCTGGGACAAACTTACAGAGCAGGATATGTGACTCGAGTGAACATGGGTGCAAAAATGCCCGTAATGGGAGGCGACAAGGACTTTGAAACTTCGAGTCTGTTTGTTCCTGACTGTGCAGTTGCTAGGTTTAGAGGCAACAATGGCTTTGATGAAGGTTTCCTCAAGGGTTTGGAGTTGCCAAGCTTGAAATGTGCAAGTGGGATTGATGGACAAGGAGTTGTATGCAAGAGGTAAGCGAATTTGTTTAGCTTGTTGAGATTGTATTTTACGATTCTTGTTAAATAATAAGACTGTAACCAACAGGAGGCAGGGAAAAAAGAAAACCCAATCCTGTGCATGGTTATGCATATAATATAAATATAACATATAATTTTTTCGCTTGATATATCTGAATAAGTGAATAAAAACTTGAGAATTTTTATTTTCAAATACTGTTTAATTAATTTATGTTATCTTTTATATATATATATATATGACCATGATGGTTATGCTATGTTAATGAAAATTTGAAATAAAATTTCAAAACAAATATTAAGGTTGCTCAAATGAAGTTTATTAATTAATTAAATTCAAGTCTAGATGCCTTATTTTATTGAATTAATTGTTATTTAAAATCCAAAATTATGAAAAATAATACCATTGAATTGATTGAAACTTTCAAAAAAAAAAAAATAATAAACAATTAAACATTAAGAGGAAATATATATATCATATGAATTCTCATAGCACCACCGGATTTGGACATTCGCTAAACTGTCATCTCCGACATCGGAAATGGTGTTTACAAATGTATACCGTATCCAGACATGTGGACAATGTTGGCGTAAAATCCCTATCCAAACGCCGATGGTGTGGGTTAGAGGTATTCTCCTGACATAGCACAATAGTCGGAATCCCTTCAAATTTGGCCACACGCTGGTGAAGTTGTTGTGAATTCTGTCAGAGTCCTACATTGTCGGTGTCGAGGTTGTGTTTGCAATTAACACAACTCCGATTCCAAGTAATTAACAAGTACCCCAATTCTAACTAATTAATCAAAATTTGAGGCCTTCATAAAAGGGATAAGAAATAAAATCATAAAATTATTATTATTGTATATTTTGCTCTGATGAATTAATTAACAAATACAATTTGATATATGGATACCTAAATTAGATTGTCTTCACGTGTGTCTTAAGATTTGTAACAAAAAAAATTATTTTAATTTTTTTGTGTGGTGTGTATATATTCTATTGAATTACAGAGGAGTGTGGCTAATTTACCCATGTTATAAAAGGGATGAAGGTTCTGGATAAACAGAAAAAGGAAATAGATAGGCTTTGTTTGTTTCGCTTTTGGGAATATTATATAGTATTTCCAAAAAAGTTAACAGCGAAAATCATTATTCTTAAAATATTATTCTATATTTTTAATTTCTTTTAAACCTCTTAAATTTGTTAATTTAACTAAAACACCCTAAATATTTTTTTAGAAATTATAAAAACACTTCGGCCACCCTCCGACAGTGGTGTCCGACTGCCCGTATTTAATGGGTGGGTTGGAGATATTTGTGTAACTTTTAATATTTTATATGGGATATTTAATAAATAAATAAAATAGGAGATATTTTTTATTAATTTTCAAAACTACATCGTAATACCCATCAAATTTAACTTTTTTCAAAGATTATTCTAAAAACTAAAAAATGAACCCATAAATTCGTATTAAAATATACTAACAAAAAAAAAAACGACGTCGGCTACCCTGACCACAGCCCCGATAGCCGATTCAAGCTTTAACTCAAGTCAAAACCCCATTTTGATTTTGGGTTTAACACAGAGCGGCAAAACCCTATTAAAGGGAGAGGGATAGCAGGCACGATGGAGGTGTGTGTCATACCAGGATTTCAGAGTCAAATTCGCGAGCTCAAAGATGACTACGCGAAGTTCGAGCTCGGCGACATGACGCGTCAATGGCCAACGCTCTCGGCGCGTGATGATTGCGGAGGTCCGACCATTGCTATCGACCTCGTCGAATCGAAGTCAACTCTTCCGTCCTCAACGACGAGTTCATTGCCACCGTCTGGGTCTTATCCCTCTCACAGCGAGAAAGCCATGAGCATGGCTTTCACGTGATTGCGATGCGTGTGACGGTGACGGCCAGTGGCGAGTATTGCTCCGTGGATTCCATTTGAGAGCCAAGTGCATGGGCGACCAGACTTTGGATGTCACAGTAAGGATTGATCAGTTCCGACCATAACGTTGTTCTGTCGACTCGCCGATTCTTACGCCTACGATTCAAGTGATCAGCAAAGGTGAGTTTATTTAACGTCCATGTTTATAGTAAATTTTGGATTTTAATGTAATTTAGCTAGTAGTAAGTGGTATTTTTTTTTAATGTGTTAGTGGTAATGTTGTTAAATGCAGTGCCCTTATGTTATGAAGAATTACTATAATTTTAATTTCTGGGATGTTAAATAAAAAGAGGGGGGGGGGGGGGGGGGGGGGGGGGGGGGGGGGAGTGGTGTGGGGGGTGGTTTTATGGAATAAGTGGTTACCAGTGTGTCTTAGATTCTTAAATTTTTTTATGTATTAAAGTTGACTACATTTGAGAAGCAAGATGTTGGGTTCAATTTCATTCATTTGTCCTGCAAGGAGCCATTTGTGGAGCATTTCATGGGCTTTGAACTACATGGTTCGAATGGTTACAAGGCTTCATAAGGCTCTGATTTTGTTTATAGATTTATAGATTTCTTTCACGATTTGCTGACTTTGTTGCATCCTTTGGGGCTTTCAGGCCAGGTGCTTAGCTTGTGAAAACTCCTTGAATTTAATTTAAATATACATTGTTCCTGCCCACCCACAAAAAAAAAAAAAAAAAAAAAAAAAGTCTTAATTGGCCTGAGGTTTTTTTTTAAAAAAGGGGGGGATTAGAGGTTATCATTTAAATTCCTTTTCCCCGTAATGTTCTTCTATACTGACTGTTGATTGAATAATGGTTTCAGGGTAGTGGTAGAAAAGTTGTTATTTATGTGTTGTTGAGTCAGGGATTATAGAATTATACTATTTCTCTTTTTTCTGAATACAAAGCATCTCTGGTATTGTCTATATTTCTTCTGTCCTGATTTATGGGATAATGTAATGCCGCAGAAATGTTTGCTGTTGTGTCATGTATTGCAGCCATTTTGAGTTTTTGCGCTTTCGCTTCCCTCTTGGTCCTTCTCCTGTAATGTGTACATTTTGTTTTAACATATTCCTTTAAATTTGACTCTACTACATTTGGTCATTTTATGGCAACAAACAAACACAACCAAGTCTTGTTTAATCATCAACTATTCCTTGGCAAAAATTGCTCGAATATATTGGCTGATCCAAATGGTTCTTGTTATTTTTCTCTGTGAGAAATCAATTTCGCCCGGCCTAAAGTTGATTATTGGGGCAGCCTCAAGGTTTTAATCTCTATACTTATGTTTTAATTCAGGGAACTGCCTAAATTTCTATATTCATTATGTTTTTCCTATCTAAAAATCTATAGAATAGATCTAAATCCTTTCTCTTTTTTCCCTTTTCCTCTTGAAATTGCTGTACAATGGTTGGCCTTCATGAAGATTTATGTGGTTGGCTACATAATTCACATGTTGAATTTGAGTTGGTTTATTTTGCATCTAGGGGCATATCATTGTGAAGTTGCGTCGTGGGCAAGAACTGAGGCTTAGAGCAATAGCCAGAAAAGGGATTGGCAAAGATCATGCAAAATGGTCACCTGCCGCAACTGTCACTTTCATGTACGAACCAGAGATCCACATCAATGAAGATTTAATGGAAACTCTGACGCTTGCAGAGAGACAAGCCTGGGTTGAAAGTAGTCCAACCAAAGTGTTTGACCTTGATGAAGCTACTGGACAGGTTGAAATCCCCTTAAAAAAATTACCCTAAATAGTCTTACCATTTTAGTAGCACCTTCAAATGTTCTTGTATGTTACAGTCAAAAGGATGCCTGTTGTTGCAAGAGGTAATTCAAGTGTGGAATTGTCATTTTGCCCTTAAACGACATTTAAAAAACTCTTACTTTAGCTGAAATGTTGATATGAATAACAGTTAGAGATCTCCCAAGATAGAGGAAAAGGTAGAACAGATGCAGAATGTTTGTTCTTTGTATTTATTTTAAGGGTTACACTGGTGAATATGAATGGTATTGATTTTTTAGAGACCTTTTTGGTAAGGAGCACATTGCAGAAAATTTTTGTGGGCTCTTTTCTGTAACATTCTATTAGGTTTCACTTTTTCTTTGATATTTTAGAATGCTAAATTAAGAAATTTAAATAAGCTGTTGCTTGTGAGAGCTGCAAATTGTTGTGACCATTTTAATATCTTTTTTAGAGTTTGGGATATTTGAATGTGTTAATTGTATTATTTTCTTCACTATTTTTCTATTCTTTCTTTTTTCTAGATCATTATATGTACAGATAATATGAATGGCAATAACAGGGGAAAGGATGTGAGTAAGGAATTATTGGAGTGTTAAACAGCTCTGGTGGTGGGGGTGTGTCGCTAGTGAGATGGAGAGCTGCAGTAGAAAGAAATTGAATATTTCAATTGGATATAGTGGTTGGAGAAGAGAAAATGCTTATTATATCATGATGGCCAACATCTGAAGCATTTATTTAAGGGGATATTGAAGGCATTATTGGGAATGGTAGGATTTTTAGCTTGAGGATGCTGTATTGTGGGTTTGCCACTGAACTTGTATGCAATATGTAGGGAAACATACTCAAGATTCGTAATCATGGGAGCACGTGTTTAGGATTGGAGAATCTCAAGAAACAATAATGTGGCAGTTATAAGCATGATGCATGATGTTGTGAGTAAGTCTGTGTGATTTTTGGCTTGGAAGGTTAATATTTAGTATTTTGGGGGTCTGGTTTACTGTATTATCTTATTATCTGCCGAAATTTATAGGTATCATTATTCAACGTGCATATGATGTAATCATTTCCTTCAACAATTTTCCTCCGTAAAATTATGATCTAACCTTTTGAAGTGATTCTAAAATTATAGGTTGTAGTGGTGATCATGAGGCATACACTTACGATGAGGAAGTGATTAAGAAGGCAGAAGCCATGGGGAAGCCGGGACTTGTAGAGATCTATGGCAAAGAAGACAGCTTTATATTCACTGTGGAATCAACAGGTGCAGTTAAAGCTTCTCAGATGGTACTGAATGCCATAGAAGTTTTGAAACAAAAGCTGGATGCAGTTCGTCTGTCTGAAGATACTGTAGAAGCTGATGATCAGTTTGGTGAACTTGGAGCACTAGCGAGGAGGATGATTGATTAACTTAACTCTTTTTGGTTCAAATCACTGATTTTCCAAAGCATGTAAGCCAAACATTAAAATAGATCTTCTGCCGGTGCTACTAGTTAACCTGTTGAAAATGTTTACATGTTTTCCGATATTTTCCTTCTAGAACTATCTATCGCTATTCTGGTCGCATTCGTGATCTTGTTGGAACTATGTAGCTGTGATTACCAATATAGGTATCTTAAATCCTAGTTCATACCGATTCACATTTAAAAAAAAAAAAAAAAAAAATTCTATCATATGGAGCATTACCTCGCCAGCAGGCAAAGATATAAAGTTGTTTTGACCCTTCTGAGATGTTTATGTTTTTGGTGTATTCTGTTTCACGGGTTTTTGTTACGCACTGGACAAAATTGTGTGTTTGTAAACGCAGCTAGTATCTAAGTGAATGTGAATCCTATGATTGTACTCCAGTCAGCTCAGGTTGAGCTGTTTGATCAGAATTAGTGGTTGGGAAATCCTGAAAATTTACCCAATCTTGTGTATATAAACCAGTGTTTCTTAATAACTGGCTTGCTTAATGGAATTTGGCAAATAAAATGATGATTGATATGCATTGTTGGATGGTTGGGTTAGTTTACTAGTGAATTTCCTGAGCAAACCGTACAAAGTCCAATAAGTATCCAATTATATGGTGATTGAGAACAAAAGGAAAACCAGTAATTACTTGAAATAAATGGTATGAATCCTGAATGGAATCAAATCTTCTAGACACTGCAGCCAAAATTACGGAATGTTTTGCTCCAATATCAACACATTTATGAAAGTATATCATCGAATTATTTACTCATCACTTGAATTCCTGATATTGGAGCCTTCATGAAGAGCACCAAAGAATTTATTAACCATTTAATATGTCTGAAACAGTGTGCAGCCTTTCAGCAGTAGTTTCCATCGATATCTTCTCTTATGGTTGACACACTATGATTTCATATCATGTTTCATTTGTGTACTTCACGGGTTTCAAGTTTTGCAGTAAAAATTAAAGAAATGTGGTCCAACCTAATTCATTAACTCTGGCTGCATTATATGCTCAATAATGCACATCCATTAAACTCATCCCAATGAAACTTGATAGATGTAACACACAAACTGTTTGTGAAGTTGACTAATTTTACAGGAAAAAGGGCAAGAAATGGTGATAAATTTGTTGAGTTTATCACCAGTGTAATCTTTTGTTGGAAATATTCATGTTTAAGTTACTTCAGCTCAGTATTATCACTCACCAGCATCATAATATCGACTGAAGGTTGAAGTTATTTTAGAATTTAGATAAATTACCCTTTGTCTTTTTATCTTCTGGGTCGTCTATGAATGCTACTTTCACATAAAGCCCACAATTTACCAACAGAAAACAAGTGGGTCTTAGCATGAACAGAGTTTAGGAAATAATTGGCCTTTGGTTGTCAAAAAAGAAGGTGATAGTACAAGATCATGTTGACAATCCATAAGGTGTTTGATATAATTACTGATTGAGTATGGGTCAGTAACTCCAGCCTGCCAAAAGATACCCAAATCTTTGTCTAAGAAACAGACATACTTGCAGGGTGGCAGGGCAGCCAAGTTACAGGGTTTTGGGACATGGCTGACCCTCAACATGTCAAATACTCCCTTTGTCCTTTTCTTGATCTGACCTTGTGAAATAAAGACTATTCATGGCTAAGCATTAAATTTTTTACCACATTTAAAAAGAAAAAGAAGTGCAATCAAACATCCCCATCTACCGTTTCACTCAACTTATTTAATGATATGAGTTATGGAATTTATGGGTCACCATCCCTATCATATCCCGCACATTATCAAAATGATATTTTATTATATATCATAACATCATATTATAAACATTGAACTTCAAACAATGACACAAACATAGCATAGCAAATTAGCAATCCCATTAGTTAGATATACTGTTCTTACCATTAGTATTCTATATTGAAGAGTTATTTGATATCCATTGAGGCCCCACAGAGAGATTTTGCAGTGCAAAGTGTTAATGGACTCCCATAGAGTTCCATTTTTCTCCAGGACGTGGAAGCCTCAGTAACAACTTGGAGGTGAGTTCATTTATTATGTTATCGGGGTTTGTTATTAATAAGCTAGGCAAGGATCGATCTTTTATTGGCTCAACCTCACTCACACCTGAGCTGGTCCTCTCATTTGAGCGACGAAAAGTGGTACCGAATTTTTCTGGTGACTCTTGGAATCAATCGAGACTCGAGAGAGCGTACAAGATACTTCTCTCTTTTTGTGAAAATAAATTATGCAATATCATATCACGATGTTTATTTATTTATTTTGTTTTGATTAAAGTATCTAGATTAGTTTATCTTGAAACTATCATTCGGATAAGAGTTTTAATTGTTACCTCTATTAGCACCCAAAGAGAGATTCAAACTCAGAACTTTTTTAATAATACACTCTAAGAGTCTTTTTCAAACAACTCGATCACTTATAGGTAGTTTATATCAAGATATTTATGATTCATACTATTTTCAAAAACAATTTAGAGATAGCATTAGTTTGAATTGAGAAATTTTGTCAAACACTCCACCATCTAGGCTTTAATTTGATTAGATTCATGCATGCTCAGGACTAATCATAAAATTGAATGTCTAAACATTAGCCAACATAATTCATTTACATCTAGGCTTGGTTTGATTGAGCTTTTAATTAAATCAAACCTACCTATGGTACCCCAACAATTTATTAAATCTCTTCATTTATATCCTGACGACAAAGGCAATACATGATGAGTAATGCTACAGTTATCGATGGGTGTGCACCGAATTTGTGCACCGAATGATATGGCACAATCCTGACCGTTGATTTATTATCAGTTAATATTAATCAACGGTCAGGATTTTGCCACGTCATTCAGTGCACAAATTCGGTGTAAACTTTTCGATAACTCTATCATTTTCCATACATGATTTATATGTACCACTGTATATATGAAAAATAAAAATTAAATGCAATGTCATGATAGCCAATCTGGACCACAAATCTTAAAAAAAATCTGGTCCCTTCTTTCCCAATGTTTTATTGTACTTGGCTAAATATATACATCATTTATACTTTGTCACCATAATGAACTAAATTTACATTTTACAATAAGGCTCCTTGTATTTTAAAAAAAATTATCAAATAGACGCTAAATTTAGGGGTATTCATAAAAATACCCTTAATGTTTTCAAAAGTAGTCAAACAACACCCCTTCGGCTAAAACTATTTCATTTTTTCGAACAATTTTTTTTTCTTTTTTTGATGTCTGTGGGTGTCCAGACTAGTTTACGTGCACCTCAATTAATCTCTCGAGACCCTAGAATTATTAGTCGGGTAAGAGTTTCAGTGACTACCCTAATAACAACTGAGAAGGAATTCGAACTCAAAACCTCTTGAATAATATACCTAAAAATCCTTATCAAACCACTCGGCCACCCAGAGAGACATAGAATTTAACAATGAGGGTGTTTAGAGACTAAAATTACTCTATGTGTATTACAATGCATTGAATGAATCAACCATGGGTAATTTCAGCCTCTAAACATTCTCATCGTTAAGTATGATGTATAAAATTAGTCTTTTTGTTGGGGGAAATAAAACAGCATCAGCCAGAAGAGTGCTTTTTGACTTATTTTCAAAACTTTAATGGTGGTCCTTAATGAATACATACAAACCTAGCATCGATCCATCATAATATTTTGAAAACCCAAGGGTGGTTTATGAAATTACTCCTTTTACAATAAGTTTGTTTCGGATGAGATAAATATGTTGGAATTGATGTTTGGGGGTGGAAAAGTGATAAGTTGGTTTAAAATTGTTGGCATTAGTATTACATGAGACATTGGACACTCATTGGGTAGAATCAACACATTAACTATTTAACAGAAGGTATGAATGAAACGAAAGGACTTCACTTGCCAAACTGGTTATACGATTCACGTATTAGACATGCAATTTTTGCAGAAGCTTGGGGTCCGCCATTTCTGATTTCTTTAGGGGCCACTGCTCTCTGTTCTACCTGTATTTCCTCTCAGGAGCCTTCTCTGCCCCCATGGGACCATCTCCCATATTTAATTAATTTATATTTGTATAAATATTAATTCGAACTTCCAAACAAATAATTAATAACATGTTTGTCTTGTTACCAGTGACCTTTACTCTGTCACCATTAAAGAGCTTCTACTGTATGTATATTATATATTTCTTGTTGAACCAAAAATAACTACAATTACATAAGAAGTTGCATCTTTTTCAGAAACATACCAAGGTTCTAGTTGCCAATTAACATTCATCACAATTTATAATAATGGATGGGTAAATTACCCATTTGAATTTAACTGGAGATCTTATTTTAACAATATTGAGTGATAATAGTGATGAGTAAATAAGATAACCAGGACAATGTTTGGGCACTCACATCACAAATGAAAAAGAAGAAGCAGGTAAAGCTTGATTTTCTGATTGAATTGATCTTGTTGGGTAGCCCTTCAAATAATGGTTGCTCAGTGGACTCTTTTTTGTTGTTACAAGTCTTTAATGGTTGAAATGAATGGACATGAAAAAAATATCTAGGCCTTCCAACCTGACAAAGTTAATCTTTTGTGTGAATTTCACTCCATTCTCCTTGTTTCATATCTAACGCTTATCCGGAATTATATATATATATATATATATATAAGAAATGGATGTCATGCTTATATCAGAATGTTGCACTAGGAGAAAACAGTGTAAAGGCATGGAGAAAAGAAAAGAAATAAAACAAATGGGTGAAGTAACATGGTTGCCATGTTAAATGTTTTATGTGGTGGAAACATTGTAGAAAGTTGAGATGATAACAATTTTGGTTTGGTTATTGAGTCAAAAGAACAATTGATTGCATGTCCAAGAGCTAAAGATAGCAGAGAGCAGAGGGCATAAATAAAACATATATATAAAAAAAATGGTATTTCTTTAACTGGTGAGAGACAAGTCCTATGAAAGGTGTCACTACTTTTCTTAAAATAAAACAAACCCTCACTTGGGTAGAGAGAGAGAGAGTCTGGCCCCATTTGGGTCCTCTCTTTTGCTGTCTTTTCAAGACTTTACAGCTGTTGAGCAAGAAAAAAAAAAGAAAAGAGTAGTAGAAGAAATTACAAAAAGGGTGTTTGGTCCGAAACTCCTGTGATTTAGTATTGAAAACATGGGGAGAAGAAGACCAGGTCAAAAGACTTGTTTTTTAGATCACCAAGCAAGCAAAGAGCAAATATTATTCTACAATTATTGAAGTGGGCCACCAAATACAATCACTAAACTTGCTTCATCTTTTAGTCCTTGGGAGCAAGCTGTTTCCCTTTGAAAAAACAATTCATTCCCTCTCTCTCTTTCTTTAATCTTTATAGGCTTTAGCTAGCATGCATATGATTTCTGATATCTACAGTTAAAAATCCACCAGCCTTAGAACAATTTTAACAAGACTGAAAATTAAAAAAAGGGAAATATCAAAGTTTTGTCTCCCAATTTCAATTTCAATTTCAACTTTTACCTGTTTACCTTTTATAGGTTGAGTCAGTGTCCATTAGGCTGCACCCTACACCAAAACCCCTCTCTCTCTCTTTATTTTTAGTTTGCTACTTTGTCATTTCTTGTAAAAAGGCTTAATATATAGTGGATATGTGTTAGGAGATTGCTAGAGAATGTCAACAATTTCTGATGAGTCCACAACCTAATCCCTATTATAATTAATTTAATTTATTAATAAAAGACAATCTATTATTGTGACTAAGGTTATTCATATCTTAGTTAGTCAATCTAAATCAATTTCATCAGCATAATTAGTGAGTTCTATAATGATTAACTATGGGTTGATTTATAGATAATATGATCTAAATTGATGATTTATAAGAAAATGAGGGTTGGAAGCAACTAGCTTTAAGTGGTCAAATAGTTCGATAGAGACTCTTGGATGTATTACTTAAGAGGTCATAGTTTCTGGCATCGGCTTGTAAGTCGGCTTGCCCCTGGAAAGGGTCGTCGAAGAGGGTGAGAGCCCCATCATGCCTAAACCCTGTCACACCACGAGGCGTTGTCTACGAGTCGGATTGTTCCCAAGTCCCTTGGAAAGGGGTGCTTGAGAGGGTGAGAGCTCCGTCGCATTTGGACCTTGTTGCACCACAAGGCATTGTTTAGTTAGATTCTTCTCCTAGGTGAACTATTTTGATTGCTAATAGTAGTAGTCATTGAACTTCTTACTTGGTTGATAATTCCAAAGTTCTCGAGGATTAGTTTAGGTGCACGTAAGCTAGCCTAAACACTCCGTCATTAAAAAAAAAAATGGAAAGCCCTAGAGGTGGGTTGAGCATGATTGATGGCGAATTATTTCTCCAATAAAGGTGGCACAAGCATGCACTGTTGAGATTCAAAGAAAGGAAATAATTAATATAAATGTACAACACGTGAAAAAAGTGGGAGGGAAAGGGAAGTATTACTACTACAATTCAACCTCACCTCACTCTTTGCCCATTAACCCTAATTTTTATTTATAGCGAAAGGATGACCTATACAGTACGTAATTGCAAACTCTAAATTATAATTAATCAAATCTCATTAGAAAGCGGAGAGAGATCAGTTGATATAAAAGCCAAGAAGAAACATTCCAATTGTTAAAGTTGGAAGCAATAAAGCATTCGGAGATTTATTTTGGGTGTCGTTTACTGATCATATATAAAGAACCAACATGTGATCTTACAGCGCGTGTGAGATTTCTGTAGTTAGGTTATTGACAAGACCAAACCAGAGTTTCCTCCAACATAACGCATTCAATTTTCATTTGACTTGTCACCATGATTTAAACATACAGTACCTAACTTCAACTCCAAAATCCCTTTGTTTTCAAACTTCATGACAACAGAACTCTCCAAAATTCAATACACAACGCTTTCACATCTTCTCCAAGTGTTAAAGAAAATACTTTGGCCTAACACATTTATAGCTGTGCAACTTCTGTTAGACTTGATTTGAAATCCATGCAAGGGAGAAGTGGGTTGAGTTGTGTTTTGTCCACGCTCCATGAGAGAGTGAATGAAAATTCTGAAAGCTGGGGGAGCCCCCACAAGAGTTGAATCCAAAAAGTGTAGGAAATCTAAGAGCAATAGATGTGTTTTTTTAGTTGAGATTAGGTTATTGATAGCATTTACACTACAAACAACACCAGTGGCAGTGTGTAGTCACCTCAACCAAAGGGAACTTGGCTTGGCTTGGTTGGCCTGGCCCTCGCAACGAGGTCAAACCCCAAAAGTCTCTCTTTAAACCAAACCCCATAAACCCCACTGCACTGGCCGACAACATTTTCTTCTCTTCACATGCAAACAAACAAAACCTATCCAACTATTTCCAATTTAATAATTCTGATTACGATTTTAACATTTAATTATTCTGATTTGTCACATTCTTCCTCTGAGAGTTTAGACTAATGAGAAGCCAACAGAAGATATTGTTCATCTTAATCTTAACTTATTATAAATAAAACAAAAATGTTTTGGTGTTTTTTTAATATAATTTTTATAAATTAATATGTCCACATAAAGTATGCTAGATGGAAAAAGATAGCAGCCTACTACTACTACTGCTGCATACATTCTTCAATGCCGGTCTTTCTCTTGTCCCTTTTATCTTCTTGTAAAATGCCATCTATCTCCATCTCTACAGGTCTCTTCTTGCATAGGCATTATTGGAATTGAAGAGATGGAAGACAATTTATGACTGGCACCAGAAAAAACAAAAGAGACAGAGAGAGAAAGAGATTTTTAACTGGGACGACTGCCAACAATGTCCACGAACACCCTATTCAGAGATGGCATTGGCAAAGGCATCTGTTGCTCTTGGGCCCTGCTCTTCTTAAAGACCCTATTTTGATCTGGAGATGAAAGGACTTGTGACTTGTTCACTGCCCAAGACTCGTTTGAGCTTTCCCCACAACTGAACTCAGATTCAATGACACCGCTAGGGCTGCACGGGAATGGCTCACATTTGCGCTTGCGGGGATACTGATAGGCGTTGCTTTTGGGATTAGATAGCTCCAGAATAAGCTTGTAGCACTCGTTTACTTTTTCCTGTTCCATGTAGTTGAGTATTAAATATAATTAACGCCCACATTATGTGTAAATAATTGTATTAATGAATTACTATTGTTTGTTCGACTTAGATCTACAATAATTCGATCAATAATGAACCCAACAAACAACAGACTGTAATGATGGGTATTTAGATTCAAACCTTGCTTATTTTAAGAACACCCAGAAGCTGGTTTTTGTAGTCAATGGCATTCAAAAGCTCAACTTGGTCTATTACGTGCATCATTGTCGCAGTTGCCAATACAGATGGGAGATAACTGACAAATCTTGATTCTAACAAAAATAATCAAAACAAAAAACGTTACTTTATTTCATGAATCGAAAACAAACTTTATATTTTCTTGATTTACTTCTTTGTTCTTATCGAAATATCTAAGTTATTATTGTCAAAATAAGAACCTGAATGAACCGTGTTATTAAATTCTTACCAGAGACCACAATGAGGAGGAGACGCTCACATCTCCGGAGAAATTCCCAGTGGAGATTGTTCTTCAATCCAAGCCTCCTTATAATATGATCAAGAAATGAAAGTGGAGTCACAAGATGCATCTTCCATTTGAGGGCAGAGAGCACCAAGAGCTCCATTCTCTGAATGGCTTTGGCCTCGAAAACATACCTAGCTTCCTCAACCTGCATACAAAAACAAACCCGGATCGTTTTAACAGAAATGCAGTGCAATAACACCCAAGGCTAAGTTAAAGTTGTAAACTTTACATACTTGGAGGTCTAGGAGGAGAGGCACTTGAGTTTCTTCAACTTTGGCAGCCAAAGAGAGACAAGTAACAGCCAAAAGCTGGATCATCCATGGCTTATCTCTTTGGAAATGAAAGCCACAGAGGAACCTATCGAGATAGTTAATGGCAAGAACTGCGGTGAGAGTTGTGAATCCATAATGGGCATTGACCTTAAGCACCCACTCCACAGCCTCATTACGAGCTAAAGAAAGACGAGAATCCGTCTCCACGAGACTCACGTTGAAAAGCGTTTGTTGTTGTTCTTTAGAGAACAAAGAGAGAAGCTCTTCATCGTCCCAAAACAAGTCATGCTCCAACAAGAGAAGGGGAAACAAAGAAGGGTTCTGGGCATTACAATGAGTAGCATTAGTCTCACTCTCACCACTCTCTTCTTGCATTACATCTTCTATCTCTTCTTCCTGACAGTAGAGTTCATCTAGCAAGAATGAAGAAGGGTTTTGTTCGTCATCATCATCATAAGCATGGCGTTGTTGGGGATGAAGAATTGCCATCTTCTTCTGAGAAGAAGTGGTGTTGAGGTTCAAAGTTCATTATACAAAAGAAAAGCTCATTCCCCCACCCATTTCCCTCTTTCTTTCTTTCTCTAAGTTTGTGTGAAATGTACCGAGGGAATAGGTAAAAAGAGAAAGATAGGGGCTTTGAAGAAGAGAGATGAGATTCAGAATGAGATCGAGAGAAAGAGAGAAACTATTGAGTTTTTATCAGAGTGAGTTTCACGCTTGTACTTTAGTTTATATCATTATTATTTTATTTTTATAAAAATATTTAGATTTTGGGGTTTTGAAAATCTTTGTGCTTTCGGTGTGTTCCGTTGGCGGGCAGAAAAATGTATTGGCACACACACCAAGTCTGACCCCACCAAAACTACCCTCTTATAAGACATAAGTACTCTTATTTTTTTCCGGTAATATTAATTATAATTTATTTATTTTATGATTTTCTAACATAATAATAAATTTAATTGTGAATCTTTTCATAATCATCAATTTTTTTTTTCTCTTGTACCCATACCTTAACTAATTTCTTAAAACTCTAAAATTATTGGCTGAATGAGAGTTTTAATAGTTATCCATATTAAAGATCGAGATGAGAGTTAAACCCATAACCTCTTAAATAATATACCTAAAAGTCTTTATCGAATTACTCAATCACCTAGATGTAATTCATAATCATCAATTTTAATTCCTGTAAGTGAATTATTGAAAATCTAAGGCTCCGTTTGATTCATTATTTTGATAGTTTTTAGAATGATCTTTTGAAAAAAAAGTTAAATTGGGCGGATATTACGATGTAGGATTTAAAAATTAACAAAAATATCTCCTATGTTTGTTTATTTACTAAACACCATATAATAAAATATTAAAAGTTAACAAAAACATTTTTAACCCACTCATTAAATACGGATTGCCGGCCACCACCGCCGGAGGGTGGCCGGAGTGTTTTTGTAATTTTTAAAAAAAATATTTAGGAGTGTTTAGTTAAATTAACAAATTTAAAAGGTTTAAAAGAAATTGAAAAATATAGAATAATATTTTGAGAATAATGACATTTTACTGTTTAACTTTTTTAGAAATACTAATAATAGTATTCCCAAAAACGAAACAACCGAAGCCTAAATTACTAAACTCAGTCAAATTCTCTATCTTAGCTAAGAATATTTTTTTTTATAATTTAACATGTGTATATATAATTTAAGCATAGTCTATAAAAATATAAAATTGATCATTTTTTAAACATATTTATAAATTGGGAAAAAAAAATCGTATCCAACAAATTAAAACAAGTGGAATATTTATACTAGACTTTAATTATATAATAAATAAATAAATAAATTTTTAATCTTTCCATAAACTTCCATTTCAATTAATTATCTCTAAGTGATTGAGTGGTTCGATATGATCTCTTGAGTGTATTACTCAAGAAGTTTTAAGATCGAGTCTCTCATCAGTTTCATTGAAGTTTCTATTTGATCAATAGTTTCAAAATCTTTGAAAATTAATTGAGATATTCGTAAGCTGACCCAATACCCTTGACCATAAAAAAGGAAAAAAAAAAAAAAAAATCCATCTCAATTCATGTAAGTGGTTTTACTTGGTTATTGAAAATGTAAGGGTTAGTAAATAAAAATAAGAAACGATCATATTTATAAAACGTATTTATAAATTTGAAATAAATAAATAAAATGTAGTATTATACAATAGGAGTGAATTCCTGGTATCGTATTTGTATGTAAGTATGTATAATACAAAGATTAAAATATTAAAAGATAAAAAATACGTAGACAGATGCATCTCCATCTGCAAAAAGACAATCCACAAACTCCACCTCTCACAAGTCACAACAACAACGCCATCCACGCGATTTTCAACTTTTTTACCTCGCGGTCAATTTAAACGCAGCGTTTTAGATATGTATTACTGAAGAGCGTGTATTACACGCAGTATAAGTTGCAACGGGTGAAAAAAGAAGCTGACTCTTTAGTCTTTGTTTAAATTAGTTTACTTGGATCGAAAAAATCAAATAAATGATGCCGTTTTGTCTGCGGCAATGACACCCCCCGACTCATTAATAAGCCGTAGTCGTACACGCTGTCCTACCCTTTTAACCCCTCCTATTTTATTTTCCGTTTTTTCATTTAACTCCATGAACTTTCATTATATTAACAAAGACCCCTTTAAATTTCTTTTTTTTTTTTTAATTTCTTTTTTATAATCGAAAATTTTGCCTAGCAGGTGACATTTTCTTCTTGTTTAGTCAAAGTACAGTAAATCCATTGAAGCAAGCTATTTCTTGCAAATCTGCAATGGATCAGAATTCACAAGAAAAAGCAACATCTCTATTTTTATTAATTTTTTAAAATTAATATATATTTCATTTTACAGCTATTTTTAATTCCTTCTCCATCATATTCATGACAAGTGAGAGTTTGTCATATTCATGGAAGAATGGTACTAAAATTTCTTAAGCCCGTGACATTTATATCATATATAGTTGCTTTATTTTCTTGGAATTTTTCATATTTCCATTTCTATTTTTTTTTTTTTGGGATCATCAAGATTGTTCTGATAAGTTTATGCATACTTCAACTAATCTCTCATGACCTTAAAATTACCGATCGAATAAGAACCCTAATAACTACCCTTATTAATGTATGAGAGAATTTTAACTTGGGAGCTCATAGTACCTTCTTTTGATTTTTTACCATCAGATCACCTAATAATAACTTCTATTTCTATTTGGCCCACTAAAGATTTATGAAATGATTTTATATATTAAAGGAAAAACAATTGAGTCTATTTATATCGTCGGCATAACAAACTAATTGCTGTGTTTATGGGGGGAGGTAATAATAACTCAACATGAATGTTGAAACAAGTAGGCTTAGTTTCACCGTACAATTAATTCCAAGATTATTAAACTCTTGAAACAAGTACTTGCGTGGCTGAACTCAATGATTGTTTATATAATGATGAGAGCCATTAATGTTAATCAACTTTTAACTCCATCTAAACCAAAGTCTTCCACTCAATTAGTAAAATTCTTTCTCTCTTTCAACTTTTAGATTGGGGGTGGGAGAAAGTGCTTTCAGCAGAAGCACTTGTGCATGGCCTTGGCATCCACTAAATACAACAGGAATCATATACCTCACATGGACCTTTGACCTAGCTAAAGAAAAACACAGAATTATGAATTGACTCATACTTGCCTCAACTTCAACCACTCATATGGAAAAAAACAATAGAGTTTAGTCAGTTCACCTAACACCTATTTTAAATCAATTTTTATGTGTTTTTTTTTTTTCAAATGTTTCATCAACATAATTATGGTGGATGGAATATCTCAATCGGTTTGAATCAATCTCATCATAAATTGACAAACCAACTACCTAAATTTGAGAATTGAGATCAATTAACCTTCTTCCTGACAGTCTAATTAAAAAACTGCAGTTTTCTTAATACATTCGCCACATAATTATATGAATATGATTGCTAAATTCCATAAAAAGATTTTCAAGATATTTAAGCTAGGCCCTCCTAATATATACTAACTGAACTATAGGTTTCACTTTCATTTAATGCTCAATAATTTGCCCTTTAATTGGTTACAATTTTTACCACGTATGGATCTTTAATATAATATCTTTCTCCATAATCGTACTTGTGCCAACGAAGTTTGTTCTTTGCTGTCCAAGTTTTCTCTGTAACTTGAGAAAGATGATTCAATGTATTTGATAGCTAGCAAACATAATGGACACGAAGTGCCACTATTACTGAGGAATTTTAGCAAAAACTATCTTTGTTTATTGTAATCAAAGCAAGTGTATATAAAAAAATATTTTGGCTATTTGAAAGCATCAATTGTTAATAAAATCAAGGGGAAAAAGTAAAAGAAAATACACAAATGTCAGGCAGTCCTCTCCTTTGGAAATTGGAAGCTATTATATACACGTTGTTTGGTTTTTTTCTCGGCCCAGAAAAAATGATTTGTCTTACGTACATTTAAAACTATTTAGAGAAAACATGGTCCTTTTTAATATGAAAATGTGATGTCTTTCAACATTGCCAGACAAAAATGACTATGCATTAATGTGTTCTTAATCATTTCAACTACTTCGAAAAAGCAACAACTCTTATAATCAACGACAATTGCATACGATAAAATAAGAGATGATTAATTAACAAGTAACTTTTTTTTTTTTTTTTTTTTTTTTTTTTTTTTTGGTAATTAAAGTGTTCAAACTAGTTTATATTTACTTAACTAATTTTCAAGATCTATTGAATATTATACAAAACTATAGTATTAGGTAAGTCATAATATTATGTAATAGGTTGTGATAAGTGATTCCAAAGGTTAAACCCAAGAACTAAAAAAAAGAATATAAATTTATTGTGTTTAATAACAAGTATTAACGTTTGAATTCTTTCATACTACGCAACATAAGAGAATTGATTAATTTGAAGAGAACAAAAAATATTTGTAGAGATACATTAAGATAATCATATATCCAAGTTTGAATACACCAATTAAAGCAATGACCTATGAATCAGAGGTGTGTCTTTCCTTGGATAGAAGAGGACGATAATAGTTTCCTGCACGAGGAAGAGCAGAAAAAATTAATTTAAGAAGTGAAATGATTTAATATTAATTATAAACAAAGACAAGTTGTATATATATACTACCACCAGGAGGATATGCTCCACCAGGGGCAGCGGGGTAGCCACCTGGGGCAGGCGGGTAACCAGCTGGGGCAGGTGGGTAGCCACCATAGCCCTCTACAATAGGTTGAGGCGGAGCTCCATAGCCGCCTGGTGCAGGTGCAGGGTATCCATAGCCCCCTGGGGCTGCTGTTCCTGGTGGGGGTGCTTGTACCGAATTATTTACTGTTGATGCTTGATTTTGACACCAACTATTCGCACGTGAGAAATGCTGAGTGAGTTCAGAAGTCACATGTGATTATAGAAGTATGTAGTTGATTGAAGGGTGAAGGACAATGTTTAAAGTGATTCGGATGCTCACTAGGCGAATCCTACATCCACTGATATTGTATTAATGGGTGAAATCAGGTCGCATCAACGAGCTGAATTACAGCTTACAGAATACAAGAGAGAGAGAGAGAGAGAGAGAATAAGGTTTTTTAGAGTGAAATTAGCCAATCCCACAAATGGGAGAGAAATCCTCTATTTATAGTGGGATAAACCAGGGTAA